TATTCGTACTTCTTCTTCCAGCCTCCACCAGTGGCGACAGGTGAGTACCCCGGAGGCTACAGAGAAGGTTGGTAGTGGTGGTGTTAGTGGGAGGGTTACCTAAATGTTTACACATGGTGTGGGTTCTCCTAATCCTCCCCTAAAGCCTCAGGCAACTTACCCATGACCTACTGGGACACTATGAAGATGCATGCTGACAACCCAGCTAATAATCGCACAAAGCTACAACTCAAAATGTACACCTGAATGTCTGTGTGTGTGTGGCAGAGAGAGGGGCTCCCAGCCTTTAATTGAAACCGACAACATGTAGAGAGGCCCTCTCTAACCTTGTCTCGGCCAGTGGGCTTCCTGCTAGCAGAGATGAACAAACAGTGAACCCTCATTTAACAGCCTGGAAAAATGGCGACCATCTCACGCGTAAACGCCAAGACTTTTGGACCTTTAACCTTTCTCCTGCCCCCCACTCCCGGCTTCACTCATCCGCCATGACAACTGCAGTCAGATAAGCTGATGCACAAGAGACACGCAGCCAGGATAGCAACGACACAAAGGAGCTATTGACAAAACTTATGGAAATAACCTGATCTAATTATGGTGCTTTGTCAGGAGTCGCAAAAGCTACCATGTAGATGGAGAGCCAAAGATCCAACAGGTTGTAAATCCAGAAAATCTGATAATGAGCACCTTCTGACAGAGGATGGTTATCAGAATGCAATGAGATTTGAAAAAAAGGAGAGCTGTTTTAGCAGGTTATGCGGAGATATGAAAAGTTAAACCCAATCAGATTAGTTAAAATTCAGCAAGCATGTCGTTTTTATAGTAAACGTTCCATTATACATATCATCAAGTCTTCAAATATCTTCTTTTTCTCCAACCACTAGATAAATGCCTTTAGATATTCATACATATTAGATTTAACTGACTCTCTTACCTGACTAGCTAATGCTAGTATCCTATATATTTTTTCTCTTTAGCTAATTTGAGCACCAATTCACAGAAGAAGTTCAGGACACTTTACACTGTACCTTAAAATATTAGCAAGAAACCCCAATGCTATATATCCAGAGGCTGATAAAACATATTCCTCCATGCTAAAAAATATTTTAAACACAGTACTCTTATACTCCTGGGTGTCTTTATTCATTATTACAAACATAAGCAAATCACTATTGTTCAGAAGGGTTAAAGAAATCTGAGCTGGCACTTCAGAGTGTCGGGTCAGAACACTTGCAAATGTTCAGATGTAAGAGGAACAAACAGGCAGAGTCCAGGAATAAAGTTGTCATTCTTTGTATTTCGAATTGAGAATGTGCCCGCAGCTGGGCGAGAGAGTGTGTGTGGGTGTGTATGTGTGTGGTTTGGTCTTATGAACGCATACACTGTCCGTTGTTCGGCTGCCGTTTGTCCCTGAACTAAAGTTGCGGACATGCACCCCGATGGTGCATTGAGGGGGCATAGGAAATCCCATACACAAACCTAACCCTTTTGTACAACTATAGTTTAAACTCAGTCCTACATATGCTGCTCTAAATACTCAAACATCTAATACGGATTACTCCACAGCTGAAAATAGTTCCTGACAAATGATTGTTTGTTGATAAACGTTTACATTTTGTTTTCAAGTGGCACAGTGGAGCAGAGGTTGCCTCACAGCAAGAAGCTCCTGAGTTCGACAACCATTTGACTGGGTCTTTGTGCGCATGTTCTCCCCGTGTCTGTGTGGTCAGACTGGCCACCTTGTAGGTGTACCCTCTCACCCAGTGGTAGCTGGGGGAGGCTCCAGCCTGTCACAAACCACATCCTTTCAATTTATTACTCTGGGTTGTTTTGTTTTGTTATGTTTTTTTTTGTTTGTTTGTTTTTTTTAGCCCAGAAGAGTTCTAATAACTGACTGCCATTCATGCAACTGCATTGGTTTCATTTTAGTTTATGGCTTACATCTGTCTGCTGAACAGGAGGATGGAGAGTTTGTTAGTTCTTCAACTGTCAATCAGAGCACTTTGATTCCTAATCTCATCTTTTGCCACGAGCTCTCGAGAGTTTGACCTACTTTACACCGAACTGCTGCTGCATCTCTCGCATTCATCAGCTCCTGTGTTTGCACACACGCTCTCTGTCGCACTTTTAACTACAGTATCTCTCAGCACCGAGCCCTACCCATGCTCCTCGCTTTTATCATGCGGACAGGCACGGACAAGCTATAAGTTGTTTTGAAATGTGATCAGGCAAAAGTGGAGCACGCCCGATGAGATGACCATTCAGAAATGATTCGTGTTTAGCTGAGAGTTAAAGCTGTAAACTATTCAAAACCAAACTGTGAATACGAGCAGCATCGAGGGGATTAGTGGGTGTGAAAGAGAGCTGAATGGCCTTTAAATTGGGAAAGAAGACATGCTGCAGATGAATGTGAAAGCAACACCTGGTTTATGTTGTTTTTTTTTCCTGAAGAGCACAGATGTGCAGAAAACATTTTAATGAAGGGCACTGCTTCCAAACCCAAGAATGCATTATCGTGCACGAGCCCAAATGTGAACACACGATGCATCTCACTGGCCAAGTCAATAACCTGGGGCTACAGTCTTAGACAGGTGTGCAGCAACGCAGTCAGGGCAGTGCTCTGTACACATCGCCCCTGGGTTTAGATTTCAAAATTCTGTTGGTTTTAACCTTTGTATATGGGCCAAAAAGCCCTCTGACAGAGCCATGGACTGCTGCCTAAAAAGTAAAAAGTTTATGTTTTCAAAGCGAGGCTGGAGCCTCCTGCTTGCCTCAGAAAAAAACGTTTCTAAATACAAATCAAAGCCATTGCCTTGCTTATCATTATTAACTGAGTGCAGAGGCTTTTAACTCAGTAGGTGGCCTGTTTCAGAGTACAGGTTTTGAAGACAAGTTCACGTCCAACTTGAGAGGCGCCCTACCCCCAGATGATACGCAGGAGACACTTTTCCACATTCCCCGGATGACTCGGCACACTCATTCCTCTGAAATTGACCGCTAAGCTGAGGCAGGAGACAAACAAAGAAACTCGAAAGCACACAAGCAGGAGCAAAAGGCTGCTATTATGGGCTGTTAACACTGCTGCTATTTAGGCCACAAGCCAAAAAAAAAGGAACATGACCAAGTAAGTTTAAAATATCAGTGTCACTCATGGTTAAATGACAGGTTGCACTCAGTCAGTGCTGCTTAGTGATCTTAGCCTAGTTTTTAAGGAAAACAGGTGAGTGAGGAAACCAGAGCAGAGGCACTTATGACAATGTTTGTGAACATCTATAAATCCCATGAGGCAAACAGGGAAGCAGTTGCATGCAAGGTTAGCAGGGATAGGTGAGGTGGGAGGATCGAGAGGTGTGGCATCCAGGATTGCTTTCCTAAACTTTGCACACACCTACACACACATGTGCACATGCACACACACACACACACTCAGACAGCCAGTGTCTGAGTGGCAGGTGATGGGGCAGGTGCTCTGCAGACATGCAGTTGTGTGGGGGAGGAAGTGTTGGGGAAAGGCAGGGCTCCTGCGGCAAGCAAAGTTATAAATCTGTGATATCAGCAGGCGTGCAGAGTGAAACCAGAACTTCAGTCATTTGCTGGGAGGCCAAAAAATGTAGTCAGAAAGAAAAACAAGTCAGTCATCAAACATCTTTCTTCCCCTCCAATGAGAAAAAAGATAGATAGATTATCAGAGAGACGATCTCCAGCCTGTAATAAAGTGTAGTAAAACAGTCCAAGGTCCTGATTTACACTTTCTGCCCGTATGATGTGCATATGGCTCATTCGAGACAAACACACCGCAGTAAATCAGATAATCCACAAAACCGCTCACAACTATCTAATTGTGCTCCAGTCAAAATATGAATCTCCAGACTATCCATACACATCATCATCGTCGTCATCGCCATCATCATCGGCAGCCATCAACTCACATGACAACGCACTTAGTCATCAGGATAGCAGAAAGAGGGCCAGCCATCACCTGGGATTTTGCTGATGATAGTAGAAAGACATTCAGAACAAGTCAGAGTGTTCTCTCTCAGTGGGTGAGCGAGAGAAACACAGCAGCTTCCAGCTATTAAATGTCATCGGTGCATTACTGTTTTATTCACTGATGAAGCGGCGTCAGCAATTTGGCCAGTTTGGAGCTTTTGAATAAGCCCTTCGTGTCACATATGCAGATGAAGGCATTAATTAATACAAGCACGCACACGTTTCGAAGCACACGGAGCCAGAAAAGGGAAGGGTTAGTAACAAGCTCTTAGCCAGGAGCCACAAACACAGAGGTGGATTTGAGTATTATGCTAAAATCTAACAAGGAGGAGAACAGAGCAGCGTGTTTGAGCTGAAGTGCCAAGTTTCAGCCCTGTGTAGTTTTTAACAACCCTTCATCCAGCATATTCCAGACATGCACTTACCTGCCCCACTCTGCAACAACTCACTGCTCCACTGTAACCATCACATTCAAGGCTCACCTTAGTCTACACTGCCTAGGGAGCAGCTGGAAACATTACAGATGCAAGAAGCAGCTTCTTCCAAGAGAATACATTAAAGCAGAAGCTAATAATCTCACTGGCAGGATACATGCATCAATTTGAGTTGGGTAACTTGACTATCTGCAGACTTTGCCTAAGCGGGGAAGCCAGCACAATGGTTAAGCTATTAACTTGATTCTACCACACACATGGCTTTAAAGAATGTGTTCAAATGGATGCCTTTTGTTGGTAGACAATACACCTGATAACCCGTCTCATGACTATGCTTCCTGTATCCAGCTGAGAGTTTATAAGCTGTCATATTTATGCAATGCACCTGACGAGCTGCACAGCACTACTTTCCTCAAGTGTATCACACAAAGCACAGCCTGCACTCTCGGGCAAACGGCGCAGCTCAACTTCCACTCACAGCAGCCGTCTGATATCAGAGACAAGATGGAATGTGTGTGTTGATTTCATGACTTAATTTGTTATTTCAGAGTTATTGCTGGTGTATGTTTAGTACTGTACCTCAGTGGCGTTAGCAGCCTAATGTGTGTGCTGGATGGAGTTCAGCAGCAGTGTGTGAATCCAGGCCATCCCAGGGTCAGACTGGACTCTGTTATCCATTGCTGCCTTGTGTTCCTCCCGGCTTCTCTCCTCCCTCGTCCTCCCTGTAGCTTTAGACACAGCCTGGACTTTTATAAACTGCACTCCTCCGCTCGGATCTTCTCCTTGTTCTTGTTCCCCTCTCCAGAAAAACAAAAACAGGTTGAGAAAAAACAGCCACCGCTTGCTGCACTCAGAGCTACTTGCAATGCAGATCCCCTCTCTAAGCTCTTCTGCTCTCCCTTCCCTCTGCTTTTCGCTCTCTCTCTCCCTCTCTCTCCCTCCCTCTCCCTCTCTCACACACACAGCTACTGTTAGGGAAGTGCTGTCTTATTTTCTCTTATTCTCCTCCCCTTCTCTTGCCCGTTCTATAAAACTGATAGTTATTTAGTTTGCCATTTCAGCACCTGCCCTGAGATTGAAAGGGAACATAAATTGGAAGGATAAGGTTGCACTTCTATGGAAGTGTTGAACCACTAAAAACTCTGAATGTGAGGGCAGTGGGGTATCTACTTTATCAGAAAAGTGATTACTTTTGTGTGTGCATGCATTGGGAACCGTCCTAATGTGTGAGATTTGCACATGGGGATTGAAAGGCAGAGATTTGCATGTTGGATTTTGTGCGTGCAGCTCCATTGCTAGAAATGCCTCTGGCTGCGGGAGCGAGCGCACGCCTGCATGCAGCTTTCACCAAATGTCAGACTCCGAGATGGAAACGGAGAGAAGCTGCAAAGGAACGCTTGAACCGTTTATAGAGGGATCAGCAATGTTCAACAACCAAACATGAAAAAGAATGGCAGTTGGGAGTTGGGTTAACTCGGGACATTGGTGTACTAATCAGTGGGAGTACGAGTACGACTAATAGTGTGTGTGTGTGTGTGTGTGTGTGTGTGTGTGTGTGTGTGTGGAAAGAGTGGTGTGTGTTGTGTGTGGTCGGTGTTTGTTGTGTTGTGTGGTTGTACATACACTACATGTGGTTATGTTAAACATTAATACAATATAGTTATACTCATATACATATCTCAATGTATATAAATATTACAAATATATATATATTTGTACATATTGTATACCCCGGTACATATGTCTACAACCTCCACACTACATATGACATATACATATGTACATATGTATAACATATACATATGTACATAATATATACATGTACTATTATATCATATATATATATATATATATATATGATATGACATACATATATATATATATGTATAGTATATATATATGACATATGTATGTATACGTATGATATATATGATATTAATATACATATATATATCTATATATATAATTAATTATTAAATATCATATATTAATATATATTAATATTAATATGATAATATATATATATTATCTACATATGTATATATCAATATATATGTACAATATACATAATATAAATATGATATACATATACATATGTATATATACATATACATATGTTATATATACTAAACTATATATACATGTACATAATTATATATCATGTACATATGTATATATATATGTATGTACATATGTACATATACTATGATAATATGTATATATGATATAACATCTACATATGTACATATATATACTATACATATTGTACTATGTATACTATATATGTAACAATGTATATATATAGTATAGTACATAATGTACTATATACTATATGCTATATTATCTATATGTATATATATTATGTACAACTGGTACCATAACTGCCAGTTACTAGCTTGCTTACTTGCCACAGTGCACTGTGCCACCTACCAATAGAAAGGAAAAGATAATGTGCATATTTCCACGAGAGAAATCCCACGCCTGGACCGTCATTGACTGCTGCCATGATTCTAGCCTACGTCACAGCGTCATGTGCGCCTTTTACATCCAACACAAAAACTGCAGTCGTGGTGCTTTCGATTGTACTCAGAACTCGGAAATTCTGCCTTCTGAATAGGAAGATGTAGGTAACACCAGACTGCAGATGAGCTGCATACAGGGCTGGACTGGGACAGAAAATTGGCCCGGGCATTTTGACTAGAGACCGGCCCACCATTATAGGAAAAATCATAAAGCCTTTGAATGAAAACAAACGCTGTTGTGACAGTGATGTACACTGTTCTGATGGTATATATGCATCAATCTATCAATCGTTTGTTGTAAGATTCAGATAATTATTTTTTAAAAGCTAGACATTTTAAATGAGAATAAGAAAGAAAAGTATTTCTTTGTGCCCCCTCTCCCTGTTAATGCCCTACTGCCCCCCTGGCAACACTTTGCTAGACCCGCCCCTGCACAGTTACCAGCTGTCAGCTACCTAAAAAAGGATCCTGGTGTTATTTGTCTCTCAGAAACAGTTCATAACTTCCCTTCAACTCATTCATGTCACCTAAAAGGTAAACCTGTTTCTCCATCACCTGTTCAGCTCTGATGATCCAGTAAGGACATCTCCTGGTTTCATCTTCATGTTTCCCTCTCACCAGATAACCAAACCGATATCATGACCAGCAGCTTTTTTGCAGCTGTGGCTCCAGCAAACATCAGCTGATACTAGAAATTAATATTAAATAAATTCTAACAACAGCTGATCAAGCTTAAACGTGCTGCTGTTGTTTAGCGCGACATCCGCTGGTTTCCTCTTTCGGCGCAAAGTGAGCGATAAACAAACAAGAGAGCCGATCAGCTGATCATTGATCAGTTTCATGATTGAAGTAGAAACGGGAGAGGGAGGGGGGAGAATGAGAGAAGAAGAGGCAGCTGTGCAGCAAAGACACAGAATAACTCCAGCTTTGTGTCTTTTTCATTGTAGCTGAATTACGGGACAAACTGTTCCTTTTCACCTCAATAAGAAACGCGTAATATTTTCTCTGAATACCAGACGGGACGGTTGGCAACTCTAATAACTTATGAACAAAATAAAGTTCAACATCATTAACTTCATAGCACCACCCAGCTGTATAGAAACTCCGTCATGCTAGCTAGCACGCAGTACGGAAAAAGTCAGAATAACGAAAATAAACTCCACCTAAACTTGGTTCATATCTGACCCAGAGAGACTGCAGGTCATAACTTCTTACCTGAAGTTCAGTTCACACTTGGACCGGCGGCCGCCTCGGGTCTCTTTTCCTTCTGCGTCCCTTTTCCTTCATCCACCTGCTGCCTCCACCACTTGCTAATGTTACTGAATCTGTGGAAGCTCCGCGATAGCCACCACACGAAGTAACGAGTAACGACCTATCTAAATCCCAGTAACGAGTAACGCGTTCCTGATTTTGGCATAATAACTAGTTACCGTGCTCGTTACCACAATAATAACGTAGTTACTGTAACGCGTTACTTAATAACGCGTTAGTCCCAACACTGCATGTTTGTATACATATATACATATATAT